TTGCTTATCCTCACCAGTCATTTGTCTTCTCTCAAATTTCTACCTTTGGGAGATGGTAGCTAGAATCTGATTTGATTGCTTCCAGCAACACACTACTTCTTTACTATTAAATAAGAGGAATGGTTTCCATTTAATGTTTACTGGATGTTTATCGCAGGTCCCTAGATGTGATTTAAATGCAGCATGTTGTTAGTCTATATCTGCTGATAAAGTTGTTTCTAGCTGCTTCAGTGGTTGATCTATGAGCATGAGATTTTAGCTACAGTAACTCCATCTAAGCAGAAAGCCAATTCCAGGTCACTGATGCAGATTGAATAGTAAGTAAAAGCTAAATAATTAATTGGTCTATTGATTTTATTCTTGCAGGATTGACAAAGCAATGCTGGCCAGCCTGAAAGTCAAGTAAGTCCTACCTTGGTTTACTTCTACTAATTCAATCTGTTTTGTTAATGTGACAAATTGACAGCCTACATAAACAATCTGCTTTGACAATTTTGTGGTCCTTTAAAAAAAAAAAGAGGATTACATGCAAACAGGATTCTGAACCAATTGGGGACTTTCCTGCACAATGACCATATCAGCGTATTTCATAGTGATTTCCTATAAATACTACTATTTAAATGGATGGCAAAAGTTACTCATTCATTAAAGGAAATCTATAATGATTTCAGGTCAATTTTATTTATATTTTTATTACATCATTTTAGACAACTGTCTTATTTTTTTTATATATACGCACATTATTTATTTTACAAATATAAAATGTTATTTGAATGACAATAGATTCCCAGAGCACTGTGGGTTAATTAAAGAGACAGACAAGCAGTAGCTGCCTGTCATAAGACTATCTTTGTCTAAGTGAAAACCCTGAGGAAAGATGGCCATACGTGGATTGAAATTCGGTCGGTTCAGCAAGGTCAATCCATGTATGAGCAAGCTGGTTGTACATAATTCAACCTATAGATCTGCCTGTCAGGTTTTATCATAACGATCAGTGCCGCTACTATAGCCAGAAACACTGATCATTGTATTCTGATGGTGGCGAAGGCTCCCCTCTGTCAGAATACAATACCACAGCAGGAAGGATTCTCCATCCACTAATCCACATTGGCTAATTTTTTTTTTTGTTCAGACAACTGGTTGAATGAAAAAATGATCAATGTATGAGCTGCTGAAGTCACTACATATTCACTCGTATACATCAAATTCAGATTGATCCTTTGAGCTCTATAAACTACATGGCAAAGGAAAACAGGAAACCTTGTGAAAAGGGTGCCAGTACCCCCCAATGCAGAGTACAAAAACTAGGCACATTTACATGAAATATGGGCAAAAAAATATACTGTTTAACATAGATTTACAAGACCACTATACATAATGCCTGGGATACTTCCTTCACTCAGGCAGTCCAGATGCAGCATACTGCTTGCTGTTAACTTGAATGACTGTGTGCTCCTGCACTCTTGGTTACAGAGGTGCTATCATTAGGGCCACATTTAGACCTTGGGGGACTTCATGTTCTGGGGTCCCCTCGTACACTGATTTGGTTTACATTCTTAATGACAGTCACACATTTTAAAATGCATAACACAACATTATTCTGGGATCATGCATAATCACACACACACAGTCATAGTCCAGAGTAAAAACTTTTAAAGTTGATGTGCAGTAAAATATTACTTCCCATTTAATAAAAGAAAGTCATTTTGTATTATTCTGGATTTTATATTTGATTATCATTTATTTTTTAATATTTTGTACAATTTTTTATATTTGTTTTATATTATTTTTGTATAGATAGGGCCCCTTCTGGCAGGGGGCCCAGGACAGTTGCCCCTTTTGCTCCCTTATAAATCGGCACTGGCTATAATAAACATGAGTACAATATATGAATATTTGCAAAAAATAGAAAGTATTGTGCACATGACTGGATGATGAAAATGAACAAAACTTTACCTCATTTACCAAGCTAAGTGAACATACACTTTGTAAAGTGATTATGCTCTATTCCAATTCAAATGGATACTGCACTAGGTGAACCCTTAAAACTTTGTGAGCACTATGAAGACCTTCACACCTCTGAAGAGCGATCAAAAATTGAAAATAAAACACTGTAATAATTAAACTAAATAAGTGCATACATATGCCCTATGAAGACCCTCACCCCTCTAAAGGGCTATCAAAATTTTAACGTAATTAAATGAATAAGCTGAGTGAGTACAGTGATCATAAATACTTGTAAGAAACAGTAATATGTGGTCAAATTAACCTAAAATTTCATGCATTATCTATGAGCCCTATGAAGACCCTCACACCTCTGAAGAGTGATCGAGGTTGAGGACAGGTCAAATCTCAATGTGCAAAAAATTCACCTCAAATATGCATAAAGGTTAGTAGAAAATGTTAAAAAAAAAAAAAACAATAACAAAAAGTCCATATAGACATAAACCATAGTCCATAAGTATGAGAAGAAAATTCCACAATCGATGGTATTATTGTAGATAATGCTGTAAATGCAAATAAACTTGCTTCACCTGGTCACCAGAGTGCATACCACCACCGAAGTAATGAATGGAGGCTTACCAGAAATGGGGGACCCCTTAATTACAGGGGGTCCCACCCAGCTTTATAATGTAGAGCACTGGCAGGCTTCCCGTATCATGCCCCAAAGCATGGAACTTCCTGGACTCCAACTCTAATGTATACTCCAGGGGCGGACTGACAACTCATGGGGCCCCGGGCAATAGGGGATCATGGGGCCCCTGTGTCCTTACCCAAACTCAAAAAAGCCTATGAAAAAGGTACAAAGGGCATCTCATGGGGCCCCCTACTGACCCCAGGCCCTCGGGCAGTGCCCGAGTTTCCAAATGGTCAGTCCGCCCCTGGTATACTCAACCCCTCAGAATACAGGATTTTAGTTATCTGCAGTCAGTTAATTAAGTGTTTGTAAACTCTAAAAATAATTTCTACTTGTTCCCTTTTATTCTGTTAAATATATTATCAAAAGTGTTTTATTATATCTATTCAACAAGTGCGGTAAATGCTTGTTGATAATGTCAGAATTCCAATGCTGTTCTACATCCTATGCACTAGAGTTTTATCTCAAATGATTCCATCAACAAGTCTGTTAGGCATGTGTTATGGACAAAAGGATGTGTTCTGTAGTCCTAATACAAGTACATTTTGTAGTACATGAGTGTTATCATCCTAGAACAGAAAGTGTTTAATTGATAGGATTGGCAAGTGAAGGTAAAAGAAAAATTATTAAAAAAGAAAAAAATGAATGCATCCATCCCATGTAAAAACTGGTTAGTGGCAATATAAAACATTTTTGTCTTTCAGTTTAGATAGCCTTTAAATATGAAAATACAGTGTTTTCGAGGAGCACCTTGCCTGCAAAAACACTTCCTGTCATAGGGTGAAAATGCTACTCCTCAATAGATACAGTAGCGTAAATGAGTGTCTCCCTAACATAAGAAGTGGCAGGATAACTAGGCGAAAATAAAGAAAAGAGGCCTGGAAAAAAAGAAATTAATTCAACCAAACTTTGAAGGACTGGTAAACTGCAATATATTAAATGTTTGTTCTTGGGATTAAATACACTTTAAAAGATGGTGTGTAGTTGGTTGGCACGTCCTGTATTCACCCTAATCTGTGCACTGTGTTAGTGAATGAGACCACAAAACATTCCCTACAAATACTGTATCCTCAAAGAACTAGGAATTTTGTTTTTAATATTTGCTTCTTTTTAGCTCTTGAAGATATGTTTCTTGATTCAGCCAATTTCTAAAGCATTTCAGCAGCCACAGTAATTGCCATTCATACTTGAAAATGTACGTGATATCATTTAATGTGCACCTGATTTCTGCTGCATGGAAAATAAAAGCTTTTCTCTTGTCCCAGCCGATTAAGACTCCTGCACTGCTCATACAAACTAGATCTTTGTCTGGCAACCAGGCTGCTGATTGCAGTAACTGAGCCAGTTGGCTTGTAGAGCACTTTTAATTCTTAGGATCATTATGGGAAGAATCAGGTGGAAAAAAGCATATTTAGGAAGAAAAGGTACTTAAACATAGCAAGCAGATGAGGCAGAAAGAGAAAATCTTTCCCCAGATGGGTAATTTTTGAATATACCATTTGATGTTCTATTCATTCATTTGGTAATATCTATTAAGGTCAAAATGGCTTTTCTTTTAGTAGATTTGCTATTCACTGCAAATTATTTTGTTCATTGTTAATGTATTTTCTTTATAAAATCAATGTTTTGAGGCTTGATTTCAGTCTGCTCTCCCAAATTATTCATAATGTTGTTGGTTCATTAAACTTGCAAAAGCTAAATAAATGGGGGCTTTGATCTCCAGAATAAGTCTACTTTATTAAAGCAGAGTTCCACTCACCCTGTCAAACAATAAAAGTCAGCAGCTACAAAAACTGTAGCTGCTGACTTTTAAAAAACAGCCACTTACCTGTCCCTCGGCCCGTGGTGTGTCCCCCGCAGCCTGTTTCACCGGCCGTCCTGTATTGCAAGAAGCCGACATCTTCAATGTGGGCACCTGGATGTTATAGCTTGCGGCTTCACAGCCGGGTACCCACTGCATATGTGCGAGTAGCGCTGCGCATCATTAATGTTCCTGTAGTCTTCTGGGACCTGTCACGTGTCCCAAAAGACTACAGGGAGGGAGGACAACTTCCGTTTCCGATCGCCTAGGTGATCGGACAGGAAGTGGGAGCGGGTACCTGTCAAATTCGAGTACCCACTCCCCTCCGCCCCCCAAAGGTGCCAATCCTTAACCGCCTCCCGCCCGCCATATAGTAATATGACATACGCAAGGTGGTTCTCTCGTTCTGGGAGGATGTCATATTACGTCCTCCCATTCTAACCACGCATGCGCGGCTCCTGGAGTGTGCAGCGCGGCGATCGGTTACAGGACACAGCAGATCACCGATCCATGGAAAGAGCTGAAGATTTTGGTTCGGTCATGTGATCAGCTGTGTCCAATAACATGCTGTCCAATCACAGCTGACCACATGTAAACAGGGAAATTCCAGTTATCGGCATTCCTCTCCACACGAGCTGTCATGCTGACAGCTCGTGAGGAGAGGAGAGCCGGTAATCGGCATTCCTCGGAGGGGACATGTACACAGATCATCAGAGCACTGATGATCAGTGAGCCCTGATGATCTGTGTAGCCCCAGCAGCGCCACCTGTCAGTGTCCATCAGTGCCAGCTCTCAGTGCTCATCCATGCCACCTGCCAGTGCCCATCCATGCCCATTAGTGCCACATCAATCAATGCCACATATCAGTGCCCATCTGAGCTGCCTTTCAGTGTCACCCATAAGTGCCAGTCAGTGCCACCTATCAATGCCAGTCAGTGCCACCTATCAGTGCTGCCAGTCAGTGCCAGTCAGTGCCGCCTATCAGTGCCAGTCAGTTCCGCCTATCAGTGTGCATCAGTGCTGCCTATCAGTGCCGCCTAACAGTGCCACCTAACACTGCCAGTCAGTGCCACCTAACAGTGCAAGTCAGTGCCGCCTATCAGTGTGCATCAGTGCCGCCTAACAGTGCCAGTCAGGGCCGCCTATCAGTGCCATATGTCAGTGCTGCCTTTCAGTGCCCATCAGTGATGCCTGTCGATGCCCATCAGTGCCACCTACCAGTGCCTCATCAGTGCCCATCAGTGCCACCTATCAGTGTCCATCAGTGCAGCCTATCAGTGCCCATCAGTGCAGCCTCATTAGCGCACATCCGTGAAGGAGAAAATTTTATAACAAAAACTAAGAAAAAACATTTTTTTTCCCAAAATTTTCAGTGGTTTTTGGTTTGTTTAGTAAAAAATAAAAAACTCAGAGGTGATTAAATACCACCAAAATAAAGCTCTATCTGTCACAAAAAAATGATAAAAATTTCATATGGGTACAGTGTTGCATGACAGCGCAATTGTCTTTCAAAGTGCAACAGCGGTGAAAGCTGAAAATTGGCCTGGGCAGGAAGGGGGTATAAGTGTCCTGTAGGCTAGTGGTTAATGGGGAGCAGTCCTTAAAGCAGAACTTCCCCTTTTGGGTGGAGCTCTGCTTTAAGGAAACAAGGGTGAGCGTCTTGGAATAAAATCTTTAACAAGAAAAGGAAGAAAACTCTGTAATAAACAGGTTTGCTTCAAAGCTTAGTCCCCCAGGAGCATATACTCCCCTTTCATTCACTCCCTCCACCATTCTAGTACTTTTGGATATGCACTGCTCAAACAAATTAAAGGAACACTTTTTAATCAGAGTATAGCATCAAGTCAATTAAACTCCTGGGATATTGATCTGGTCAGTTAAGTAGCAGAGGGGGTTGTTAATCTGTTTCAGCTGCTTTGGTGTTAATAAAATTAGCAACAGGTATACTAGATTGGCAACAATGAGACAACCCCCAAAACAGGAATGGTTTTATAGGTGGAGGCCACTAAGATTTGTTTCCCTACTCATCTTTTCTGACTGTTTTTCACTAGATTTGCATTTGGCTAGGTTCAGTGTCACTACTGGTAGCATGAGATACCTGGATCCTACAGAGGTTGCACAGGCAGTCCAACTCCTCCAGGATGGCACATAAATATGTGCCATTGCCAGAAGGTTTGCTGTGTCTCCTAGCACAGTCTCAGAAGCATGGAGGAGATTCCAGGAGACAGGCAATCACTCTAGGAGAGCTGGGCAGGGCCGTAGAAGGTCCTTACCCCATCAGCAGGGCCAATATCTGTTCCTTTGTGCAAGGAGGACAGGATGAGCACTGCCAGAGCCCTACAAAATGACCTCCAGCAGGCCACTGGTGTGAATGTCTCTGATCAAACAATCAGAAACAGATTTCATGAGGGTGGCCTGAGGGTCCAACGTCCTCTAGTGAAACCGGTGCTCACTGCCTGGCACCATAGAGCTTGATTGGCATTTTACATTGAACACCAGAATTGGCAGATCTGCCACTGGCACCCTGTGCTTTTCACAGATGAGAGTAGGTTCACCCTGAGCACATGTGACAGACATGAAAGGGTCTGCAGAAGCCATGGAGAACATTATGCTGTCTGATCAGCATGACCGTTTTTGGTGATGGGTCAGTGATGGTCTGGAGAGGCATATCCATGGAGGGACACACAGACCTCTACAGACTTGACAATGTCACCCTGACCGCTATTAGGTATCAGCATGAAATTCTTGGACCCATTGTCAGACCCTACATTGGTGCAGTGTTTCCTGGGCTCCTCCTGATGCACGACAATGCCTGGCCTCATGTGGCGAGAGTTTGCAGGCAATTCCTGGAGGATGAAGGAATTGATACCTATGAATGGCCCCCATGCTCGCCTGGCCTAAATCCAATAGAATACCAATAGGATATCTTGTTTTGGTCCATCCAATGCCGACAGGTTGCACCTCAGACTGTCCAGGAGCTCAGTGATGCCCTGGCCCAGATCTCGGAGGAAATACCCCAGGACACCATCTGTCGTCTCATTAGGAGCATGCCCAACATTGTCAAGTATGCATACAAGCACATGGGGGACATATAAACTACTGAGTTTTGAGTTGCTGCAATGAAATTTTAGCAAAATGGACTAGCCTGCTGCATCACTTTTTCACTTTGATTTTTGGGGTGTCTTTGAATTCAGTCCTCTGTAGGTTGATAATTTTCATTTACATCAAACGATGGGGCATCCTTTAGTTCCTAACACATTACCCAGTCCATATCTGTATAGATATCCAGCATGATATTTTTCCTCATTGAGATCTAATGTGTTTTCCTTTAATTTTTTCTGAACAGTGTAGAAGTGTGTGACTCAAACACCATCCACTCATATGACAGCACTGGTGCTTGGTGGTTGGCTTACTGAAGTTATTCTTAAAGCAATGCCTGCAAGGAAGGTCCTTGTACAAGCTATTCCTGCTATGGGGGGGACAATGGTCCCCTAGTTGTGCTCTGCATTGTCAAGCTGTTAGGCAGGTACACTTAGGTCTGCCTGTCCATTTTACTGTATGGAGTGGTGGATGTAAATGGAGTTATGTCCATTTACACTCCAAAAAGAACCTCCTTCTGCACTCAAGAGAGATGTTCTGGCAATAGTGGACCACAGATCTTCAGATACTCTAGAATTGGCAAAACTTGGGAAAATCCAAAAAACACAATGGAAATATAAGAACAGAAGGACGCACCAGCCTTGCCTCTGAGGAATAGGGGACACCCTCTTGAAACACGTCAGCCATTTTGAACGTTTTCACAGTTGGGACTTGCGCAGTGGACTAGGTTACGCAGGACACTGTGGATATTGATGGGCTTTGTTATTTTATGGTGTTTGTGAGTATACATATGCTTTATCTTTAATAAAAGGAATCACAAAAGTAATGCACAAACCTGGTGTGCCCTTCTGCTTTTATATTTCCAGTCCGTTTGCACCCGCCTATCGCCAATCTAATCTGATGAGCTAAAAAAAAAAAAAAAAAACGGAAGGGGATCTGTTCCCTTACATCTGATCAGATTGGAAGGCAGACAGGTGTAAATGGACAGCCGGTCCATAGAGCAGAGTGGCCTGTGTCTGTTGTCTGTTTCCACTCTGCATAAATGGAGCGGACACAGACCTGTCATCCACCCACTCTGCTCTGCTCAGCAGGGGATCCACAGACAGATTCCCCGCTGAGAAAGGACAACAAAGAAACAAGTGGAGTCCAGCTTGTGTGAAAGGGGCCTAACATGTGGAATGCTGACACATAAGGGTCTATTTTTTAACTGTCTCAGCATTTGCACAAAAGTTGCAAAAATGTCCTGTAATGTTTGGAATGTGTGGGAAATGTAATTTTCTATATATTCCCTATGATTGTCAGCTTTTTTTAGTGGCCATAATGTTGTATTTTTTCCTGATTATGAAAAATACCGCTTTCTGGCCACCACATAGCTAATAATCATAGGAAGTACAGAGAACAAAAAACTTTGCACATATTACAAACATTACAGGCATTATTCATGTTGTGTGTGTGAATACTGAGATATTTGCTCAGCAATTTTTTTTTTTAATAAATAGACCCTATATTGAGCAGACATACTTCGCATTATCACATTAGCAGACTGGTCCAGGGCAATGGTTTACAGCTGATACTGCAGCATGTGATAGGAGGTGGCTAAAAAGTCTTGATAAGATCAGGATTAAAAAATAAGTGAACACAGTATTTTATGAAAAAAAAGAAACCCAGTTGTTTATGACCAGGGCTGCTGTTAGAAACCTTGGGGCCCCATACAGCCAACCTCTCAAAGTCTCCACCCCCTCCCCCCCCAAATAAAAACACAGTTTACTATGATTCAGTTATGAATGAGCACAGTGAGTAATAGGTACCGATCACTCATTTGTTGATCATCCTGAAGGATCCTATTGTGTGCTTGCAGTTACCAGTGGGAAGGAGAAGAGGGAACCAAGGAGCACTGCGGGGGTGGGCACACAGAGGGCCTAGGCAACAATGCATGGAGGTGATGGGTGAGGCGGTGGTGGTGGTGGGGCAATTACTGGAATTGATCCCCTGTATGTCTCTCTCTATGCAGCAGCTGGATGCTAGCAGGAAGGAGAGGAAACAGGGAAGTCATTGAGCATTATGCAGAGATATATGGCAGTCAGTGAGCAGTATGTAGTGGCAGGGCAGTTAGTGAGCAGTATGTAGTGACAGGGCAGTCAGTGAGCAGTATTGTCAGTGCAGAGCAGTATGTAAGACATGCAATGAGCAGTATGCTGTGCAGGGCAGTAAGAAATGGCAGTGCAGAGCTGTGGAGTGTATGGTATGTAGCAGTAGGAAAGTGCAGGGCAGTCTGTGAGCAGTATGTAGTGGAAGGGCAGTCAATGAGAAGTATGTAGTGGCAGGGCAGTCAGTGAGCAGTATGTAGTGGCAGGGCAGTCAGTGAGCAGTATGTAGTAGCAGGGCAGTCTGTGAGCAGTATGAAATGGCAGGGCAGTCTGTGAGCAGTATGAAATGGCAGGGCAGTCTGTGAGCAGTATGAAATGGCAGGGCAGTCTGTGAGCAGTATATATGGGCAGGACAGTCAGTGAGCAGTATGTAGTGGAAGGGCAGTCAATGAGAAGTATGTAGTGGCAGGGCAGCCAGTGAGCAGTATGTAGTGGCAGGGCAGTCAGTGAGCAGTATGTAGTAGCAGGGCAGTCTGTGAGCAGTATGAAATGGCAGGGCAGTCTGTGAGCAGTATGTAGTGGCAGAGCAGTCATTGAGCAGTATGTTGTGCCAGGGCAGTCAATGAGATGTATGTAGTGGCAGGGCAGTCAGTGAGCAGTATATAGTGGTAGGGTGAGCAGTATGAAGTGGCAGGGCAGTTTGTGAGCAGTATGTAGTGGCAGGGCAGTCAGTGAGCAGTATGTAGTAGCAGGGCAGTCTGTGAGCAGTATGAAATGG